GGGCACAAAACCCCGGAACCAGTCGATGAAAAATGTTAGTTCCGTCCGAAAAAGTGAGTTCTTGTCTGAAACATTCAGTTCGCTCAAAAAACAATTACTGACATCGTCAGCTATAGAACCGCGATAACGGCGATTCCCAAAACCGCCATCCCTTTATTGGAGTATCTTGTTAGATATCTTATGCCGTAAGAGGTCGTTGTATTTGTTAGTTCCTCCTTAGTTGCAACTGACTAACGCTCTTGTGTGGCAGCGAACTTCTCCGCTCAGAGGGTGGAACCGTCGGTGAGTTTTTTCTCGCGCTGTTCTGATCTTCTCGAGGGGTTTCTGACACGATGTCGAAACCGCTAGAGTTGATGAGGCGCTTGGTGGTGTAGAGCGTAAGTCTAACAGCTGAAACATGCCAGGCCTCTGAAGATGACGATTATGTGGAGACGTTAGGGCATTAAAGCGAGAGATTACGATAAAGTGTGTGTGCGCAAGCATGGAAGTACATGCACCAGTGGAAGCAGTAGTCAGGGGCCTAAGGAAGCGAGATGTGGCCTTTTCGTGGCCAAAGGTGCGCTAGTTGCAGCGCCCTGGGGCTGCCAATCCTTTCTGAGCTCCGCCTCCGCCTGTGCTCCGCCCCTCAGCAGATCGCTGTTCGATTATCATTTGATAAGGTATTCCACTTCGAGCGCGTATCCTATAACTTTCCCATGGAATGCGTTATCAATCAAAGCATGATGCTTGCTGAAATGATAGAGGCTATCAGTTTAACATGTGCAAACGACCTCTAATTGGTTGCTAGCTCGTCCATTATCGGAGGTCAACGGGCAAAGAAAGGGGTCCCATTTTGCGCTTCTTGACGGATTTCTTTGCTTTTTTCGCCACTGGGGCATTATTCAGCATCTCCACTTCCACTATGAACCACCCAATCTTATCGTATCCCTCGCTTTAAATAAATTCTCGACATACCAACCTCGTACGGCACAAGAAATCTAACAAACTTTCAACTAATATACCGAGGCTGCAAGGAGAGAGAAGTTGGGTATTAATAGTCCCTCGTCCGACCACCCGCAGTTATGAACACGTGATTAATGCTAAATTTCAAACATTTCAGCGTCCTGCCATTACTAAAATTGTCAACCGGTTGCTGCTTCAGAGCAATCCAACCGCCAGAAAGAAGCACACTACTATGACTCAAACGAACTAAACGTCAGGGCGGCTGTAGGGATGCCTGGGAGCTCACCGACCTTGTCCAAAGTCGTAACTTTCAGAAACTCACACAAAAGCTCCAGGGCTGCAACCTTGTGAGCCGCTTGGGAATATGTAGGGAAAAGTGCATTCGGAACCTCTGCTGAGATTCGCTTTCAGTACTTCTCCTGGCTGTCCGGTGAGGTCGTATATGGTATACGATAATGAGCTGATGGACGTGAAGCCACTCACATAAGCCGTTGTGAAGGTTTGAAGCTCTGCAATAATAAAGCTCAGATGGGTGGCAGTGAGCAAAGAAAAACACAGAGAAGAACGGGAACGCCAGCTTAGTAAATTTTGCTCTCAGTAGTAGTTCTCAAGTGGAGGTGATCTGATAGGAAATTGGGTAATTTTCCTAGAATGGAATTTGAAGAAACGAGCTTTCCTCATTTTGCATTACATATAGCCAAGTAAGAATGAGCGCTGGAGAGCGAATTCTGCAGGAAAAGGACGGTCACAATACTGTAAGAAAGAGCTTTTCTTGAATCGAATCGTTGAACTGAAAAGTGGCTCTGAACTTGTAACAGCTCTTTAGAGAATCACCTGAAATGGCAACAGCACTCCCGACGTCAACGGCTGGATCCGAACTCGAACCAACAAATGCAGTGTTCGGTGAATTTATCCAGACTCGAACATTAACGCTAGACTGCTTTTTCGAAGTCACCGTAATGACCGACGTCTCCGTCGCAGTTGTTCGGATCAGCTGAAGTGTTTTCAGTCAAATTCAAAATCGGTAGGAATAT